ACCTGAATTCCCAAGTCAGACAGACTTGGGGGTGAATCTTGTTTTGTTCACTTTTTAAGTTGCATGACTTTGGGATACCATAACCTCTTTAAGCCTCTGATCCTCACCTGCAAAATAAGCATAATAACAAAACCAACCTCATAGGATTGCTGTAATAATGAAATGTGATGATGAACATAAAGTGGAAAGCACACAGTGTCAGCAGTGAGGATTACTGGCATTGAGCTCTCCCTCAAGGGTGTGCTGAGAGAATTCTTAATTACCTGCTGTGAGCAAAGCCTTTGTATTTGTTGTCTATTGCTGCACAACAAAGTGCCTCAAAACTTAACAAACATTTATTGTCTCACATATTTTCTGAGGACTGGGAAACTGGAAGCAGCTTAGTTGGATGGTTCTGGCTCAGGGTCTCCTGGAAGGAAGCTGCAGTTAAGCTGTCAGCCGGAGCTGCAGTCATCTGAAGGCTTGATCAAGTCTGTAGGGTCAGCTTTCAATCTTGCTCAGTTGGCTGTTGGCAGAAGGCTTTAGCTGCCTGCCATGTGTAGGACTAATCACAACATGGCAATTGACTTTTCCCCAAGCAAGTGGTTCAAGAGAGAAGGCAAATAGGACCAAGGCAAATAGGAAGCATGGTGTCTTTCATAACCTAATATCAGAAGTGATATGCCGTCACTTCTGCCATATTCTGTTGGTTACACAGACCAATCCTGGTGCAGTGTGGGAGAGGACTACACAAGGGTGTGAATGCAGAGGCAGGGACCACTGGAGGCATCTTGCAGGATGGCTACCACTGCCTTTAAATAGCTTTCCTGAGCAATGCTACAGTTGCTCTTAATTTTTTTGCTTTAATTTTAGATTAGAGCCAGGAGGCTTTGAAATGATTATCGTGGTTTATAATCTACCAGCAAATGAAAGTCATCTGAGCATCAAGATAAACGTCTGAGTGGGGTCTGCTAGCCACTTGGAAAGCATGTGGTGCCACATGCCTAAGAAATCCACAGCTGACTTTAGTAAAATATTGACTACACATTAAATTTTCCAGCACTGCACTTTCACAAAGTGCAAAGGACAGAAGTTGTCTCTCTATATTAACATGTTAAAATTGTCAGCAGATAAGACACAGTTTACAAATCTGTATTTATGATTGGGGTCTGGCTAAAAAACAGCAAGAATAAACTATACAACCTGGGAAGTCTAATTCTAGCAGGAAGTTGCTTTGAAATAACATCATACTTCACTTACTCCCCAACTGATGTCTTTGACGACTGGTTTGTACACATCAATAAAACGTCCTGTCAGTTACCATATTTTATATTCTTACAGTGTTTCCCACTGTTTGATGGTAACTCTAACAGTGCCTGTGCTCACAGCAGCAGCCACACTCTGATTTGGACACACCAAGTAGATTGCTATTTGGCTAAATTTCTTGCCCAAGTACAGGTTCATATGGGTTGAAAGGGCCCATTAAAAGATCCCTAAAGAAAAATATGCAGTTCTTACTGGCTTGGATTTGTAGTTCCAGAATTTTGAAGAAAGCGGCTGGTTAACATTATAGACATTTTAAAGTCTTTGAGAAACACAAAAAACAATAGCAAGGAAAGCACTTTGATGGCTCAGAATTTATTTTATTTTATGTACTTATTAATTGGTACACTTTCTCCCCCATTTTAAGCAAAGATTCTATACATCGAAACAATAAAATAAGTAAAGACATGTGTCTACTTTAAAATCTTGGAATTGGTTAAGTCTCTATAGTCCTTTCTCATGCTTTCGTGGTAAAGGCTCTTTCTGTTCTCTCAGCCCTGCTGCACTTTGATCTCCCAAGCAATTCCATTTGGTTGTAAATGTATGTGGTGCCTTTGATCTAGTACTTAGCTGGTCTTATTTAAGATAGATAGTTTCTTTTATCTAAGAAGTGTTTACTAGGTCTCTCTCTCTCTCTCTCTCTCTCTCTCTCTCTCTCTCTCTCTCTCTCTCTGAAAGATGGTTTAAATTGCTATCATTTAGACAGAAGTTGTTTCTTAAGAGTGCCTGAATCTGAATCTAATTCTCTAAATTCTAAACCCCCAACAGCTCTATTATAGATTTTTGTAAAGCCAAATCCCTATTAAAATGAGCTGCTCCTACAGGTATTAGTTAATACTTGCAAAAACTAGGCTTTTTAATGGGGAACTAATTTTTCAAAGAGTAATAAACATATCCTACACTCAGGCAAAAATGGTCATCTCAGAGTGTCTGAATATAACGGCCAATTATCCCCTCCAAAACTCAGGTATTAATATATTTTTATATTACTGGGTTATTCATACTATACAGGGTACATTGAAATGGGACTTTTTTTTTTTTAGAATAAGAAATATATATCTTTCTTAAGAGAATTTCTTGAACATTATGTCCAGTACTTTCATGACTTCTTTCTAAGTTTCAATCAGCAAACTATGTTACAGGGGCAGGGGACACAAAGATGATTAAGTCACAGACTCTGCCCTTAGGGATCTCACAGCCTGGGGATGAGGATCAGGGGGGCAGAGCTCCAGCAAATAATTACACTGCAGTGTGTTCAGTGCTTCTCTTGGACAGTGGTCCTCCCAGCTTAGGCTTGGGAGTGGTCAGGGAAAGCTTCCTGGAAGAAGTGGCACCTGAGCTTCAGTGAAGAACTGATGGCTCAGAACTCACTGTATGGTAAATCTCCAGCCAAGCCCATAATACAAAGCCAATCTATTTGCCCAGACCCCCTCTAGTTTATACCTGTGGCCTAAAACTTGGAAGAGGTCAAAACCTTGAATGCACCATTGTACCCCACAGATATGTATAATCAATTGTTTCAATAAAAATAATAATAAACTTTGAATGGCCTTGTAGCCTTAAGCTACCCCAAAGACTTCTTGCTTGTCATTCAACATCAAGGAGAAAAATCCCAAACTACTTTCCATGTACATTATAGAACGTTAGCTCCATCCTCCATTTAAAAGCTATATGGGAAATTACTCTTTGTTGAAAGTTTAAGTAGCTCCTCCTGCCTTTAATTGTTCTGCTTTGTTAGGCTACTGGCAGATGTTTTTTGCGTTCTCCTTGGTGTTATGTTCTTACCGTTCCAGAAGTCTTAATTACTTCATCCATGCACTAACCGTGTATGAGTATCTCCAAGCGCTGGCCCTGGCCTAGCCACTGTGGAGAATGCTCAAGAAGTACACAAGGGGCCTCTCCCAGGTCTGGAGGTTGAGAGAGGGGTGAGGAAGAAGTGATCTACAGGCACGTATATGATCATTACAATATATAGTTGCTACTGTTCTGGGAGGTTTTGAGGAGAAATTGCAGGGGACTTAGAACCTGACTTCAGGGACTCAAATTGGGTTTGCAGAGATGGGGAGGAGAGGCAGGTCTCTGGAGGACACAGAATGTAAGTTTGAGGTGTTCCTGAGACAGTGCAGAGATGGTCAATGGAGGGCAGATGGGGTGGAGGTGGGAATGTGCTCAAAGCGAACTAGAGGATTTGGTTTTTTCCTGTTGGTAGCATAGAGCCCTTGTGGCTATGAAACTGCAAAATGAAGTGTAATCTCTGGCTGGTACTTTTCCTCTTCTTTCCCATCAGTCACCATTCACTACTGATTCTGAGAACCATGTATTTTAGGTAGTGGGACACTTGGAGATCAGAAAGCCTAGTCTCTCTATTTGTCCAATGAGAAAATTATCTTCTAAAGTTCAGGTGGCCCAGGTCTTACAACCATAGAGCAGTGAAGCCAGGGGTGGGTGGCCACTCATTGACCAGCACCTGGGCCTAGGCTTCTCTTCCTGGGACTTGTTTCCTACAAGGAATCCTGGAGTCTAGGACCCTAGACAGTTAGCCCCGAGTTCACAGGAGCCTGTAGGAGAAAGGCCATCACACTGTGGGAACAGGGCTTCAGTTCTCTATATGTACCCCCATGATCCACACCAAGCCAGAGCTTGAAGAATGAGAGTTGTTGGCTATTAGGAAAAGAGACAGATAGGACAGAAAAGAATCAGGATACGTTAAGTAGATCCATGTGAGCCACAGGATGCCAAGCTCGGAGGATGGAGAGTTATACAATATTTGGGAGAACTGGATTTTTTTGTATGAATTACTAAGCACAAGCTGCCTATGGCCCCTAACTTCAAGAAGGCCGAGTGGAATATGTCCTACCCAAACAACATGGACTGAGAACAAGGCAAAAATGGTGGTCTTCAAGAAAACCAGGGAATGTTACTAGAAGAAAAGTGAGGGATAAATGCTGGAAAAACAAAAACAATAGATATTGACAGCAATGCCCTCATGCTAATGTAGAGGAAAAGATGTCTAAGACTGGGATGTTCTTGCAGGGCTACAATGTGCCACGTATTCTCAGTGCTTCATCTACATTAACCAATCGATCTTAACCTCAATCCTGCTACTATTCCCATTTTATAGAATTTTAGGAAATTGAGGCACAGAGAAACTAATTAGCTTGCTCAAGGTCTTATGGCTAATAAATGTCAGAGCTGGGACTTAAACCCAAGCAGCCTGACTCCAAAATCTGTGTTCCTAATTATTGTGTTGCAAGTAATAGGGGTCTCCAAAAAGTTCATGGAAAGACTCATATTATCTTTTCATTCTATTTTTCTTTGAACTTTTTGAACTACCCGGGTGTCTAGTTTCCCTATTTTTCTTCTTTACTTATGTTGTTTTCTCTGATATAGGGATTTGAAGAAGGCCCTAATAATGAATGTAAATCGGCTAGCACATAATAGTAGCCATTATTCCTTTTGTTATTACTTATTAACAGAGTATGCAAAGCCTCTGATACACAGCAGACATTCAATGACTGTGAAATAGGACAAAAAGTAATTGAAGACAAACCAAGACATTAGCATGTGCTCTAGAGCTGAAAGGAAATCTGTGATGGGTATGAAAGAATAGGTGCAGACAGTAAATGCATGAATAGAAATATCCAGAGACCCATTGATGCAAATCCTTTAATGACTCCTTTTCTCGTTCCTTCCTCAAGTGCTGCTTAAGTAGAGCCGAGGCCAGACGGGATGCTGCTAAAGTGGCCCTAATCAACTCCCTCTTCAATGAACTGCCCTCTCGCAGGATCACCAAGGAATTCATTATGGAAAGTGTCCAGGAAGCAGTAGCCTCCACCAGTGTGAGTACCCGCAAGGGAAGGGAGGAGCTGGCTGCACTGAGAATACTGAGACATTTAAATCTTGGGATATGGCTAAAGTGAGCAAATTCTTATTTTAAGAATTATGTAGGTTTGATCTTTTACCCATTAAGTCATTAATTTTCAGCAAAAAGAATACATGGATTGGAACATGAAATTGGAGCTGACCCCCTTTCCACATCTCGGTGATGTTGTTTAGCCTCCCTGGATCACAATTAATCAAGCTTTAAATCAATGTAGAACAATTGATCCATCTCCATTTGTTTACTTGAATGTTTGCTTTTTGAAAAGTATTGATTCTTTTAAGGCTTGAGATCAAATGGAATCAATCGAATACTGCTTTAATCTGGTGATAAACTTGCTCTACTTTCCCCAAATTTGACTAACTATAAAAATCATCTGAGGTGCTCATTGAAAGTGCCAATTCCCTAGCCAATGGAGGGCCCTGCGATCTATGTTTTCAAGAAAATGTCAACTGTTAAGATATGGGAAAAACTGTGTGCCCAATATGTGTTAGCTATTTAAATGATCATGGTTGGTAATTACCTCTTTCAGAGAGCTTTGAAAATTTCTGTAATGGACACGATTAAATTCAAAGGGCTTGAAGAGTAAAACACCCTGCCTTAGAAATTTAGATAGGACATTTTCTCAGCAATCCAGGGCTGAATGCTTTGTCCCATGAATGATTTGGAGCTCCCAACCCCCATTACCTCCAAACCGTAAACCACAGAGGAAGCCTTGGGTTCCCACTAGCAGCAGGTGTCTCCCTTTGTGTGCTCAAGGGGAGGAACTTGGCATTACCAAAGGGATTAGCTACCTCTGCCTTGACTTTAGCATGGATAAACCTACCCATCTGAGATTTTCCTTCTCTGTTTCCCTTAGTCTGACTAGAAGGGTTCTGTCATCCTGGAGAAGCTGCTGATAATGAAGGAGACATTATCAGACCAGCACTGACCATTTTCCCCTCATAAACGCTCTAATCACTTACAGAAGAGATAGGGAAGGGGTAGGGGAAGGAGAGCGATTGACCAGGCAGGGAGCCGCAGGGAGCTCTGGTCTATATCTGGTCTGAGGATGAAAGGAAACCTTTATTTTCCGGCCCTGTAAATTTCAAGTGCCTTTGAGGAAGAGAAGTTAGGAAAATGATGCCTGATTTATGTAAGTGTGGAATTTACTCAGGAGTGGGGAGGGGCCCTCAATGTAAATGTAATTTATCATTTTTTCATGGAAATTTCTAAGGAAAGTGAATATATATGGCTTGCAGGCTTCTGGATGGATTTCCTCTGGGATATTTAAAAAGCCAACATAAATATTTCAGCAGCAGTGTGTTAATGTTACTGCATTCAAAAGCTATAAATTTGCTGCTATCTGATGCTAGCAGTTGTTTGTTCAGCCTCACAAAGTCACCATTGCCCACCTTCCCAGGAACCCAAGGCCATATGATATCAAAGGGCAGGCCCAGATGCCATTCCAGAGCTTGTGTTAGCTCCTTAGCACCACTGCCCACAACCAAACTGAAGGGGAATTTCATTTCTACCCACCACCCACCCACCTAGTTTCTTAAAGATTAAGTGGTTCAGGAGTGAAAAAATATAAACCAAGATCCATGTCTCCAGGTCAAACACTAACATATTATGTTAAATGTTAACATTAAAAAAAAGCTCCTGTTAAGAATCGTGGCAGTAAAATTTGAATAGTCCATACAACTGGAGAATTCTTTCCATGTCATTTACATGATCTTGTCTAGTTATCACTGGAATAAGAGCAAGGTCGGTAGTTCAAGATTTCAATAACCAATGAAGGCAGTCTTGGAGAATAACCACACAAACGTTAACATGAACAACAAAAAACCCTGTGCAGTGATACAGAAATTTCTGCTTTGGGATAACTATTCTATCATCAGTGAGTATAGTGGCATTCTAATCAAAAGCTAGATTCAAAATGATTACAAAACCCTCTTTATGTCATGGTGACATTAGAGTTTATCCAAAATCAACTGAGACTTGGTTGTAGAATAGACACCTGTTAGTGTTATGCTAACAATAGAAAGCTTGCTGTGTGGCCACAAGATCAATTTGTGACCACTGAAAGAAGGGGAGGAAAAATCAGTAATGTTCTCTCTGTCCGCTTTCCTTCCCAAGGGCACGTTAGATGATGCAGATGACCCCAGCACCAGCATCGGAGCCTATCACTACATGTTGGAGTCAAACATGGGCAAGACCATGCTGGAGTTTCAGGTACCTGACTTCCTACCACATGTTTCTTTGATTATCCAATCCAGAATCCTGGAGAAATGCAACCTATCACTAACATCTCTGTCCTAATAATCTACTTTTTTTCCTTTTGGTCTTAAGCATTTTGGTCATTTTAATTTAACCCTCTTAGAATCAATCATAGTAGCCCCATTTGAGCCACACCTCAGTAGCTAAAACAAATGAGCAAACAAGGCACTATCTTTGCTTTTATGAAGGGAAATAAGAGACTTAAGTCTAAGAAACAGGTGAGGAACACCATAGTCTTATGGCTCCCCAACATTTCACCACTTTTCAGTACGAAGTTCATTAAATCAACTCAGACAGTTTGAAGTGGTTCTTAATTTTCAGAAGTCATAGATGAAGGTTCCTACAGTGTACATTAAACAATGCCCACCTCAGTTGTGGCATTTCCATCAAACAAGATCTGCCACCTCCTACCATCAACCAAATCAAAAAATTTAGCAACCTGTAACCCTTTTTCATCCACTGCTGAAAAGCAATAATAGAGATGAGGAATTATATTACCTATTATTTGCAAAATAAATAAATGTATTAATAACAATAGTAGCAGCAGGTGACATTTATTGAATGCTTGCTTTGTCTGGCATGGTGCTTAGCATTTAACAAATATCATAATTTAACACTAACAACAACTAGGTGAGGTAGGTATTATTATTATTCCCATGTTATCATTGAAGTACATGTGCCATAGCTTTGCAAATGGCACAGCCAGGGTTCACACCCAGGCAGTCTAATCTCTGAGCTCACACACCTCATACACCAGACTATTATCCTATACTGGGCTAGGCCAATGATTGGGCATGAAATATGTCTCCCTCTAAGGAACTAAACTTGAATGCAGTTGAACAGTCATACACATGCAATGCTTGTAGGAATCTATATGCAATATAATAATGAAGAGGCTTGGCCCCTAGTAATTCTATTTTCTTAGGTTTGATTCCAAGAAGCAATCAGAGATATAAAGTTTCATGGATGAAAATGTTCATTATGGTATAATTTACAATGTTGTTGCAGCTGAGCCCTGAAGTTACCAACCTTCAAATACCTTCTTCGATGGCTTTTAAACTCTTTTTCTGACCATAATGGCATAGCCACTTCTCAGGTGGATATGTGCCTCCTGCTAATTTTGTTTAAATCAATACTTTTATTTCTTAGTCCCCTGGATGGGAAGCAAAAATATTCTTTTTTTGCCCTATCCTAGATCTTGGTCATTCAGTTCTCACCTTAAGTGACCATGGTCTCACTGACCTTTGACGTACCTGTCTTTGTTTGGAAGCAATGAGGTATCCTTTAAGCTTACTCTCTGGAGAGGACAGAGGCACATGCCAGCTCAGGGGTTCTAGCCCAGGCTCTGGAGTGGGACAGCTGGTTTTAGCCTGGCTCTGTTCCTTACCCAAAATCTGTTTCCTCATTTGTGTGTAAATCAGGGAGAGTAATAGTATCTCCCTCACAGTGCCATTGTGAAGATTAAATGGGACAATATGAGAAGAATCCAGAACAGTGCCTAGCGTATGGTAAATGGTCAATGAAGGTTAACAACCATTGTTATATATATTTCTAAAAAACGGCTTTACTTGAAATGCCAGAGGCTGCTGGATGGATTCCCTTAACAACTCTATCTAAGCTGAAGCTTCAGATGAAAACAGGGTAGCTCCTCTGCACAAAAAGATTTAGGGCCCCTGCTGTAGAATAAAAGAGTAGATCTGCAAAGGGTCCTTTTTCATTTTTTCTTATAACTCAAACTAAAACTAAACAGAGAAAAAATAAAAGGGAGGCGTTATTTCAAGTGGAAGAACATAAAAATTTAAAAATCATACAGACATATGTGTTATGGCCTGCCCCAGTGCACAGTAGCTTGTATGTGATTTAGCAGCTATTTTCAGAAAAATCAAGAATGATTTTGATGTGATTGTGTTAGTCTGCCAGAGGAAGGCAAAATTAAAAAAAAAAAAAATTCTTAAAATTCCTTCCAAGCACTATGAAAGGCTCTATAGCCTCCTTTTGGTAATACTTTAATTGCCTTGCTGTGGGCTGTGTGTTTTCTGTGTGGTCTGTGTAGTAAGGTATTTAAATATGTGAAATATTAATTTGAATCATACTGTGGAAATGCTTCATAAATTCTCATAAAGGAGTCTGGGTATAGGATGGGGGACAAAGGAAGAGAAAGATGTGAGGGCAGGAAAAATCCAAACTCCCTCCCACAGTGGGCATACTGGCAACCCAGGAGGAGAGCCCAGGGAGCACATCTCTTTTCCTTCCGCCAGTGCTAGGTTGCCTGCTGGGACTCGGCACATTCCTTAGTGGCCTGGTTAAATGCATCAGCTTATGTCTGCACATAATGGGAACTGACCACAGACCTGGGTTGTTTCTGCAGCCGACACAGCAATTCAGTACCCCTGGTGGGTAATAGATGTGTGTTTGTATCTAGCTATGGATGTCTATACCATATAAAAACAAGGCTGGTGTCTCCTGACTGCCCTCAGGCTGTCGGGGGGTGGGGGCCATCCTGTAGCCAGTGCTAGGAGGAAATATGATAGGCCTCGGCTTACCTTCGCGTCGTGGGAGGGAAGCTGGGATGCCTGTTTTGAGGTAGCCTTGCCACAGAGAAAACTGCCTGCTGTTTGGGGGGAGGGATGGGAGCAGCACCAGTCACTGGGTCTTGTCAAGGTCAGAGTCTAGGCAGACTTTGACTGAAGCTGGTTAATATATTTATTCTGAAGCCTAATGCAATCCAAGGAAGAGTTGTTTATTTACATCTTTTCTAAATTCTCCAGGTCGCCTTTTAAAACCTCATCCCATAAACAAATTTCCTCTTAAATCCATTCTCTTGGGTGGGGAGATGGTGCCCACCTGTTTTTCAAGTTCTCCATTTACAGTGTTTGTTTTTCTTATTTCTGATGAATCACAGAACCAAGCAAGTCTCCCAGACAAAGTTCCAGAGAGAAGCGGTGAGCATTTTCTCCCCACAAAGTAGCTGAAAAGCCAACATTGCTTCTAATAGAAGGCAACACCAGGAAGCACTGGGAGGCCAGAGCCCAGTGCTGTAGGTTTAAATGGAATGAATGACAAAATGAACCAGGAAAGCTGTAGGATGAGAGCTGCAACTGCGATTTTCCTAAAGAGGAAAGAAAACACAAGGCTTGATTCCCATTCGATTTTAAATTTACTTTGCTGACCAGGACTGGCTATGTAATTTGCCAGACCTAGTGCAAAATAAAAATGCAGGGGCCCTTGTACAATTATGAAGAGTTTCAAGACAGAGGAGCATTAAATCAAGCCCAGGGTCCTGTATATCCCGCTAATGAAGCCACACTAGTCCCTGAGACAGACTCACAAGAAGGGCCCGGCAAGGCATTTACCTTGGGTGCAAAATTTAAAAGAGCATCAAAAACTCTATAATCAAAATAAATAAATTATAATGCAATATTTTAAATATTCAAAATTATTCTTAAAAAACTAATGATAAACAAAATATTGAATTTTTAAATAAAAGACCCTGAACATGCATGACCCCCTACTCACTTTAAATCTTGCCTCAATCACCTCACCCTAGGATGGCAGCTTCTTGCTTTTCTGCCAGTCCAGCCAGGCTGTCCAGGTTTCTGGATTAGCCCACAAAACAAATGCCACAACACAAAAGACTTCAGCACTAGCAGGACAGACCCTCATAGAACAGACAACACTAACTTCCCCAAGTGACAGGGCTTCTCCAGGCAGAAAGTGAGATGGTAGAAACCAGACAGTGAGAAATCATGTTGAAGCTAGGAAGCATTTCCTTCCAGGAGTCCACAGCAGCCCTCCCCATGCCAGTCTGCAATAACGCAAGGACTTCCAGCAGAATTGGTTAGAGGCACATGAGGATTTGTTGTGGCTGAGCTGATAAATCATACAGCTTCGGGAAGATTTGAAGATAGTAAATTTGGTCTTGAGAGGGGAAATAAAGAAGTGGGACAGGAAGTATGTGGAAATATTTAAATGTACTTTATAAAATGATGGTGAGATTAGCATCTCTACACAGGAGGACAAAAACTAGATCAGCATATAAAGCAGGAAGGGAGAAAGGAGGTCGTCTTCCCTGGGGAATTTTAGGAACCAGAGTTAACACTGAGGAAGAGGCAGTTGTGTTACAGAAGAGAAAAACCCTGCTTGGTGATGGGATAGAAACTTAGACAAACCAGAGAGGATGAGGAGAATGATCCTCATCCTGGAGGCAAAAATGGTTCAAGTCCCTTTTGTGAAAGATGAAAGTTGTCAAGGGGCATGAGAAAGGTTTCCAGTTTTGTTCACAGCAGAATTGTGGACTCTAAAGTCTTAGAGGAATTGCAGGCTGGAATGAGAGCAGTTCATCTGGAAGCAGCTGGGCAGCAGTGCATAGATAAGAATGAGAGCTCAGAAGATCTTGGAGAAAGAAGAGTACATTTCTAAGACAACAATTATCAGAGGATGGAATTAAGAGCCCTGTTAGTAATAGGCTGTTTCTCAAACTGGGCCACAAGGATGCACGGGCACTGCCAGGATGGGTATTGGAAGCCACAGAATAAATCCAGTGTATCTTTCTTTGTTTTCAACTTTACATACATATTTGGGGTTGGGGGGTGCTCAAGTAGAGAAGTGGGGTGGTATTTGTTTTCTTTTTTTAAAAAAAATGGGCATATATAACCAAATACATAATTCAAGTGGATTCTTATAAAACATGAAACCAAAAGAATTTTTTAGTTGCAAATATTGGTCCTCCTGTTACATAATAGAAACTGGTCCATATCAGGACATAAAGAGCATTCCTATTCATTTTTTGTACTGCTAAGTATTCAGCAAGTAGATTTGCAGTATACTGAGAAATTTACCTTCCTCAGTCACTGGGTTTACTTTGATGGAAAGATTAAGAAGCACAGCAGTGACAGCCAGACTGGGCAAGATACTGCTAAGTATTCAGCAAGTAGATTTGCAGTATACTGAGAAATTTACCTTCCTCAATCACTGGGTTTACTTTGATGGAAAGATTAAGAAGCACAGCAGTGACAGCCAGACTGGGCAAGATTTGGTTTCTAAAACAAAGCACTTCCACTTTTCCAAATTAGCACGGTGATGTGGTGGAGTGAAAAAATGGAGAGTGGCAGGGAGAGGTGGAGAAGAGAGGCCAGGAGACAGGCAATTTCCCTGGGCACTGGACCCAGGACTCCAGGCAGATGGTGGAGTCTCCATTTGGGGCAGAAGGAGCAACTCAGCTGGTATTCATGTTGTATTTTAATTAATGGAAAGAAATGGGGGGCCGCTCCCGCCCGAGGGTTCGGATCCCACATACAGACCAGTTCCCGCTCACTGGCTGAGCGAGGCACGGGGGCAACGCCGAGGGTTGCAATCCCGTTGCTGGTCCCCGGTCCAGTACGGGGGCAACACTGAGGGTTGCGATCTGTTGCCGGACACGGAAAAAGACAAAAAAAAAAAAAGAAATGGCTTCGCTTCCATTGAGGTCTCTGTGGGCTCTTGGGGTGCTTAACTGTGAAGTGGAACAGAGTCAAAATACCAAACTGGATCTTAGATTGAAAAGAAGAAAAACATTTAATTCTGATGGCAATTTTAGATCTGAGAATAGTGCTATCTGCTCTTCTGATAATCTTATAACTTTAAAATTTACCAAATTATTTTAAGATGCCAGCAATCTAAGACTGACTGTGCACCTCCTGATTTTCACAATGAAAACTTTTTCCTAAGCAAGCAGAGGTAAAGAGTTAATAAAAGCCAGCTTTTTTGAATGAGCACTAGGACATCTGTCTAAATGTTAAGCTTTCATAACTATTTTTAAGACCAGGAAATTCCTTAATTATATCAAGTTACTTTCCAATAATTATGTGGTCTTGGTTTATGCTATTAATCCACAATAGACGTCTCTCTGGCAAAAACAAACAAAAAATCTTTATAAGTGAAATGCAGATAACTTCAGTGGAAAACTGCTAGTTATAACTATATTAGGAAAATAAAAATTTTAAGTATGTTTCTGCATCTTAGCTTGCCCTTGCTATTGAAAGGACAGTGCTGATTACTTAATACTATGCTGAGTCCTGGCCATTGAATGTGGACTACATGTGGGTTTTAATGTCAATACAACCTTATTGTTCATATTGTCAGGCATTTGTCTTGACTGAACTTATAAATTTAGGAGTATTTTACAGTTTCCATAGTTCGTCCATCATATGTTTCATATCGTCAAAAGAAAATACTACCACAAATTTACTTTAAAGATCTAGTTGGCTTTTATTTGCAATTCAGAATTGGGCAACATCTCATTCTATAAAATAGCTGAGCAGAGGAGTTTAACTTTATAGGCAGAAAAGGGCTAAAGAAAGTAGAAACAGAAAACAAAAAGCAGATTGATCATTTCGAAGCTACTTTTTTTTGTAAAGGTTAGAGCAGAGGGGACTTCCTTATCATGATGGCTAAAACTGGCTTGTTTGGGGATTTGGCTCTTATCTCTGTCTCTGCTGATTTCTGGAAACATCAGATAGACAATTTAGTTTTGTCTTGGTGATGTGGAACTTTACCATAAGTAACTCCATTTTGGTTTGGTGCCTGGTGCAGGATCTCAGTCCAAACCAATAGCCTCCTACTAATTTTATTGAACAATATTTACATATGTACTTTTTGCTTAAATTTTTTAAAATTTAAATTTTTTTCTTTAATATGTAACATAGTCACATGATTCAAAACTCAAACAATTTTGCAAAAGAATGTCAGAGGAAGGTCTCCCTCCCATGCCTGTCCCCCACCCAAGGCATTCTTTTTCCCTCGCCAGAGACTATTAATGTTGCCAGATTTTCTATCTTACCCAAACTCTTCTAGGCATTTATAAGTAAATATCTATATAGGAATCTTCTAGTCTTTTTAAATCAAATTTTAGCACACAGTTCACACCGTGAGAGTGTTTTCATCCTTTCCTTATGACTGCAAAGTATTCAGCAGTATGGATGTATCACACTTTACTTAACCATTCCTCTAACAATGAGTGTTTAAGATGTTTGTAGTCTTGGGAAATTTCCAAAAATGATACAATGTATAACCTTGTCTATACATTATTTCTCACGTTTTGGTATATTAGATAACTTCTTGGATGTACAATGTTAGAGTGTATGTATTTTAATGTTGAACGATATTCATCATTTTTTTAGCCATTTCATTATCCAAGGATGGATATAGCAGAGGAGAGAAGGAAGAATGCTCCAGAAGTTGGGAACTCTGGTCTTTGAAAAGTCCCAGAGTGTTCTGACAATATTGTGTGTTCTGTTTCTCTGATACATTTGGGGATCAGAGTTATGCCCTGCTCAGCTTTCACCCACATACACGTATATTTCTGCTTCGAAACCAGTAACAGGTGTTTGGGTTTCGTAGGAGCTGATGACCATATTCCAGCTACTGCACTGGAATGGAAGCCTAAAGGCCCTTCGTGAAACGCGGTGTTCCCGACAGGTGAGATTTTCCATTTGAGACTGTGGTCATGTTGTATAGACTAAGCATACAGTTCATCATCTTTCCAGGAGATTCCTTTATTTGGATTTTTCTCTGTTTAAATTTGGTACCTTATTTAGTGAAAAGAGCAGAGGACACATGAAGAAATATATACAACAGTCCAGATGGGTCAGGAATTGACCAAATACACACACTAGGAAGAACAGTGGCTGGGCATAGGACTGATTTATATACTTGTACTGAATGCAGAATGGAAGGATCATTAAAATAGACTTAATGTCTAAGACAAATGCAGAATATACTCTAATATACTGTATGCACCTGCCCTGCCTACTCAGAAGTGTGCCCTCTTACACTTTCCAATGCAGAAAGAAACTTGAGAATGTGCTGCTTCTGACACGTCACTGAACAGAGGAGTTGGTTGTAGAGGAAGCGTATTTCTTACCCCCAGGAAAAGTCTTACATGGGCAATAAAAATGATTATAAATGTGGACAAGCTGTTATTCAATCCCCAATGTTTTGGTTTAGTAGTTTATTTTTCAGAGATGGGTCTCATTGTTTCTTTGTTACTTACAGGAAGCATCCTTTTTTAACAGCAAATGTAAACCCTCTCCTGTGTATTTAACAGTTTTCACCAGCTATCCTCCAGGATTTATCCTTCGTCTATCCACCGTTAGAATTTGAAAGACGGTAGTTTATTTTCAAGAGTTTCCTAAGGAATTTGTGCTAGGAAGAAAGCCTCTGCTAGTCAGCAAGATGATGGTGGATGTAAGCGTTTTCCATGCACTATAGCCCCAGGACTTTCAATTGTTCTTTGCTTAGAATGTCTAGCTTTCAAAATGTCAAAGACTGAAAAGAAATGAGTAGCTGACAATGGCTTTGGCTATTTTTTTCCTTTTCCTTTGATTTTATAAAAGTCCTTTGAAATATGCTGGGTTGGTTATAAACACTTTTCCATGATTGTTTTTAATTTGTTAAGGTCATAAATAAATACCATATGTTCTTGAAAATAAAAATAAGCAATGCATCCTCTCCACACGATCAAATCTATATATGACGTTACTATGAATGGGCAAGTTTTTTACACAAGAATTGACAGGTAGTGGCTCATTTTTTAATTTTTGCAAAAGTAAGAGACAATGTACTATGAAGGTATCATTATGCTATCAATAATGATAATCGCTACATTCCATAATACATTTTTTAAACGTTTCTGTAGTTACTGCGCACTTTTGGACTGGCATCTTTCTTGTGCCAACAGCACAGCTGCTCTCTTGGTTCCTGTCTTGTTCTGAGGTCCCCTTGACTAAGAGCTTCCTGATTTTGCAGTGGGTGTGACCAAACCCCATTCTGCTGAATCCCTCTGTACAGCTATTTCCCTCTCTCTGTCTTGCCAAAAGAGATAATGCTGAGCAGAGATTCAGTGAATAAATGAGGTAATATTCATTCCAGTTGTTATAGGAATGCACTTTGAAAGACAGGCTTGTCTTTTTTCACGCTGTCAGAGCTTGGTTTTGGGAACAATATTGAGTCATTGCTGGTGGTGTGTTTTGACTCACCCTGGAGTGACTTGCTTTGCTGGACCAGGTTAGCCCTTCATTTCCTCTTAAGGAGTATGTCAGTGGGATATGGTTGCAGTTCTCGAACATCAGAGAGCCTGGGTTGTTGTGTGGATGGATGGAGTGACTTGCTTTGCTGGACCAGGTTAGCCCTTCATTTCCTCTTAAGGAGTGTGTCAGTGGGATATGGTTGCAGTTCTCGAACATCAGAGAGCCTGGGTTGTTGTGTGGATGGATGTGGGGGCAAGGGCCATGTGCCCGCAGGTGCCTTTGTTGTTCTTTACTGATACTCTGGACTTGGTTTCTTGGCCCCCAGGAAGTCATCTCCTACTATTCCCAGTATTCTCTAGATGAAAAGATGCGCAGCCACATGGCCCTGGACTGGATCATGAAGGAGCGAGAGTCACCAGGAATTCTCTCTCAAGAGCTGCGAATGGCCCTGAGGCAGTTGGAGGAAGCCAGAAAAGCAGGACAAGAACTACGGTTTTACAAAGAAAAGAAAGAAATCCTGAGCTTAGCCTTGACCCAGATCTACAGTGACCCTGAGCCTTCCTCGCCCAGTGAAGATCAGCTGAGCCTCACAGCCCTGTGTGGCTATCACTAGCAAGGTCAGGTCCTAGGTGCCCCCAAGAATGGCAGAAGCTGGACTCTAACATTAGGAAGCTCACTGAAGGAGGTCCTCCGGGGCTTTAGCATCTATAGTCACAACCTGAGGGCTGTACTAGTCCTCCCACCCCTTCCATTCACAGAATGTGAGAGTAGTAGGATTATTACAGGACCCAACAGCCCATTCACAGTTTTTGCATCATGCTGTCAATAGTTCCACCTCAGGATGAAAGGATGAAGACAGGATTGTTTGAAAAATACTTTCCAGGCTTAGCTCCAACCTAAAGCCTGGTCGACATGTGCCTTGCTGGATTATACATGCTGTTTCAAAGAATAGGCCAATATAGCATCCCCCAAAAGAACAGCAGCCAGGACTAGGGGAAGTAGCATGATAGCAATTTAAGGTTAAATAAATACTGTGGATTGTTTTTTAAAATATACAAGGGTCAGAGTCTCTTCCTGAGCTTTGTAAGCTAAGCAATAGCTTGCACTCAACTAGGTGTAATCCAAAGCTACAGTGGTAATTTTATCTGGACATCCTACTATCAAAGATCTTGAGGTTATAGTAGTACGAAAATACTAGATAAATTTAATGTGGCTTAAAAAGCCATTGTAATAATAAACAAGAGTGTGGGTTTTTTTAAAAACCCACACTCTCCCATATGTGGGGATAAATGTGACCTAGAATAGTACCCTCGCTCTTATTCCTCAAGGAGAATTAATACCCAATTTGTATAAGTTTTACAATCAATTATGTTCATTTTTTATTTGCAAATACATAACTCAAACCAATTTGTTTTTACTTCTGCCACTGCAGACATATATCTATAATGGAGAAAATTAATGGCATTGTAAAGGTTAAAGCATTTTGAAAAATCATTAGCATGTAACAAAGAATGCTTGTATGTGATTCATTCCACAGGCATTAGAGAGAAAAAATCTTTAGCTGACTTTGTTGTTCAAGAACATAAGCAACCAGTAGCTCAAATGTAGTGTCATTATTAAGTTTGTCACTGAAATCTTCATTTAAGAAGGGGCAAGACATTGCCATCTCTATTTGACCCATCTCTATGAGTCAATCAACAGACTAGAAAATCAAAAGCAAATACAAATTAATTTCTAGGTCATTTCCGGTCACAATTTAAGAACGGCAGCAGTATCAATCTGCAAGGCTCATAGGTATTTCCATATCTACAACATGAAAAGGATTATCCTGCATTTAGTCCAATAATTCAGATTAAAGAAAACATTATTCTCAATTTTAAATAAAGTTTCTTTTTCTTCTTGTTTATGCAAATACAGACTATCTTTCATGAAAGATAAACCATTACAGTAAAGTAGTAGTTTACAGTAAAGTAAACAATTACAGTAAAGTTCACAATATGTGACATTTTAATCTCACATCTAAATAAATACAAAGGTAATTGTCACTCCTTAAGTCCCCTTAAAACTACTGTATACTGTATTTTGGAATTAGCCTTGATAATAAGAAATTATCATACATGACATTTCTCACAACAGGGGAAAATTTAGCTACATAATTGCCCTACTCTAATATCTTGAAAAGGTAATAGGTAATATTAGATACATTTTATTTTTTTATTTTTATTTTTATTTTTTTTTTCCTTTTTGTCTTTTTTTGTGACCGGCAACGGATCGCAACCCTCAGTGTCGCGCCCGTACCAGACCGGGACCAGCAACGGGATCGCAACCCTCGGTGTCGCGTCCGCACCTCGCTCAGCCAGTGAGCGGCCGGTCTGTATGTGGGATCCGAACCCTCAGCGGGAGCGCCGCTGCACTCCCAAGCGGAGCACTGTAGCAGTGCGCCACTGGGCCGGCCCTGATACATTTTATTTTAAAATATTGTTTTAACAAAAGTCACATTCCTCCCCATAATAAGGCTAGCTGTCACCTAGAAATTCCCTTATATTCCTGAAAAGAAATTAGAATTAACTTTTGTATGTTGAACAAATTTTAAAATTCAGGAAACTTCCCACTTAAAGTAAGTTTTTTTCATAAAGTCATTTATCATTTAGAAAAAGGCAGTTTCCTATGTTGGGTATGATTAAAGTTAGGTGCACCTTTACTGCATTTGCTGCCTTTGCAATGACTGCCTCAAAATGACACCATCTAATTAGATGCAGAAGCAGGGACCAGATGGGACAATATGAAATTTACTTTCCACCCTACAATTGGAAAACTGCACCCATTTTGTAAATAGAGGTTTTCCCTTGGCCACTATCAGTTTTTGCTGATTGACCAAAACCTCCCACTCTTCCTGGAACAGTATGGAAGAGACAGCAAAAGAAACGAAAGTCAGAACTTTTGCTGCTCATTTCATAGCAAAGCAGTTCCAGCTTGTAAATAGAGGTTTTCCCTTGGCCACTATCAGTTTTTGCTGATTGACCAAAACCTCCCACTCTTCCTGGAACAGTATGGAAGTGACAGCAAAAGAAACGAAAGTCAGAACTTTTGCTGCTCATTTCATAGCAAAGCAGTTCCAGCTGAGACATTATGGCTGTTAGTACATCACATAAACATCCGTAATCCTGGCCCAGAGAAGAGCAAGGTTAAAGAGCACAGCAGATTTTCCCCCCCTTTTCTATATCTCGTTCTCAATAACATGCTATGGTAAAGGGGACTAGAGTGGAAGATTCTCTGTTTAAACATGTGCAGCTCTGGCTCCTAACCTTTTTTGGTTATAAACCCTTTGAGAATCTGATAAAAGTTATGGACTGTCCTCTAGAAAAATAGAACAAAACATGCACATTCGAAATTGCACAGTTCCAGAGAGTATCTGGACTCTGTAAAGTCTGTGATTGCCCTAGAGGATCTTTGGATCCTAGTACAGAACTCAGTTTTAAGCATAAACATACAGTCTCTTAAACTTTACATCAGGAATCTAATGTAGCTCAGACAGAGCCCCAGTACCCTATTTCTAAGATAAATATCATCACCCTAAAATATGGAATTGCACTATACTTGGCAAGAAATAATTAATTTTCACAAAATCCATACCGTTGTGAAAAAACAGCTTAGAGCAAACTAGTCACTAAACTTGGGTAAACATCAGAATACAAATTTAATAAAGTCATCGTTCTAATGTTCAGAATTTGGTTGTCCATTTGTTCAAAAGCTGTAGTTCACTCGTATTTTTGCTGTTAAATTCATTCACCTGCTTCTAGAAAAGAATCAAACCATTATATATTCCTGAAATGCTATACCTACATCAACTTTGCATCTGATCATCCAAGCTTCAGGAAAACTAGAAAAAAAAAATTGCATAAAGGTTTAATGCTTTTCTGTTTCTTTAGGGAAAGCTTTTGAAGCCAGAAGCATTGTTTTATCTCTAGCTGAGATGCTTCAGAGAAGTCTGAGTTCTATCATGCCATGCCTTCCTTTCTAGCCAAAGGACAAAAAAGCCAGACTAAGAATATTTTCACTATCCTTGACTAGGTTCACAGGTAAACACCAGTCAAGATATCCTTTTTTGTTTCTTCTCTTTGTTTGTTTTGGTTTGCAGAAATGAAAATAGTGAGATTCTTCTCTACTGTTCATCCTAAAGAGTTAATATTGAGATTGTTTTTAGCCAGGGCTCCAAGAAAACAAAAATCCTTTTCCCTACCACAGTGTTCCAATTCTGGCTACACATTAGAAACACCCCAAGAGCTTTTAAAAATTGTAAATGTCCAGACTGCACCCAAACCAATGAAATCAGACTCTCTGGGAGTGGGGCCCAGGCATCAGTATTTTTTAAAGCTCTGCATTTAGTTCTAACGTATAACAAGGTTGAGAACCATGGTTCTACCCAGGAAGTACTGGCTCAGAGGTCTATGTCCTAACCCATGAAAGCTATTACTCCACTTGGCTATTACTCCCCAAATTCAAATGTAGAGCTTTTCTGAGCTAGGTAGGAGCAAACCTTTTTGCTTGGGCAGAGGTCTCTCCTGGAGCCCAGAATGAAAGCTGGGCAAGTACACATGCACACACACATGTGCACACACACACACAATCTCATCTGAGCAAAAGAGCCAGGTTCTGCCCCAGTGTCCAGACTCTCCTTCTCAAATATGGCACATGAACTATCTGCACGACAGTCATAAGGGGTCCTTGTTTAAAAGAATGAGTTTCTGGGCCACACCCCAGACCTACTAAGCAAATTCCAGCGGAGGGTTTGGATTATTTACTACTTCACCAGATGTTTCTTTTTCTTTTTTTTTTTAAAGATGACCAGTAAGGGGATCTTAACCCTTGACTTGGTGTTATCAGCACCACGCTCACCCAGTGAGCAAACCGGCCATCCCTATGTGGGATCCGAACCAGTGGCCTTGGTGTTATCAGCACCGCACTCTCCCGAGTGAGCCACAGGCTGGCCCCCACCAGGTGTTTCTGATCACACTTCAATGTGCAATCTTCTGGCCTAAAGCTACCTAATGAATGTTTTACTGGGCAGTAAAGCCTGGCCTCTAGGAAGAGGGCACAGAAAAGAATAAAAGGGAGAGGAAAAGGGGACTCTATTCCTCCTGAAAGCTAGAGAGAAGCTGAAAGAGCAAGGAGATACGACTGCATTTACTCTACCAAAAGAGCAGCTGCTACACTTCAGTCACTTTGGCCCCAACACTTGGTATTACTTTTAACTCTTTTACTAGAAACCACGTGATGGAGTTTGGATGTACTGTCCTCCCAGAACTCATAGAACTCTGTTCTCCAATATGGCAGTTTGAGTCATAGGGGCAGATCCTTCATGAATGGTTAATGCTCTCCCGAGGTGGGGGGATTAATGAGTGAGTTCTTGCTCTATTAGTTTCTGGGAGAGCTGGTTGTTTAAAAGACCCTGTGTTGGGAAAATAGAATAATTTAATCAGGCTCCCCTCACCTCAGGGCCTGTTGGGGGTGGTTCAGTAAGCAAGTTGTGTGTGGGTGGAGTTGGTGCGCATGTGCAGCACTAAGACTTTGGCTGGTGACTGCCTCAGGCAGATGCCACTCCTCGCTGCCATGCTTTCCAACCTACAGCTTCCAAGGACCTGTTTGCCCATTACCTAGCTCTTAGACCTACATGTAAGGGGTCTGGTGACCCAGCCTGACATGTGAGGGGTCTGGTGACCCAGCCTGGCATGTGAAGGGTTTGTGACCCAGTCTGTGAATGGGCTTGAGGGGTCTGTGAGCTCCAGACCCAGCCCTAGCTCGACAATTGGAGTTAGCAGGATTCCGACATTAGCCTAGCTTTACAAATGGCCCACTCGGGAGGATTACGGGCAAGTAAAAGAGCTTGACACAATTGATGTAGTCTGTGACAGGATTCTGAACAGGTACAGGAGCCAAAAGCCCTTGGAAGAAGGAGGAAATGTGGCTACTTTTGAATGTGCTGTGCCCTATGGCCACCTTCCTGTTGACCAGAGCCTGGCTGCTACTCACTATGCTGCAAACTGATTGAGATTTGTGGCAGAAAGCAGAGTTGTTGGAAGCATGGATAAATGTCCTGGAGGATGACATGCAGTGACTGGCTATTCCTGCTTCTCACATCAGGGAAGATGCCCAACCCAGTGGTGAGTGGGGGGAAACTGTGCATCTCCAGGCATGACCTGTTGTGCACGAGA